AGCCTTCTCATATTAAATCAGTGGCATCTTATGAAAGACCACTATAGTGGCTCGTAGTAACGAAAGGGTTAAATAAATACTGAGCCTTCATATTAAATTTTCCCCACAGCGATGGAAGGTGGCCGATGCAACTGGCCACGAGGCAAAGTGATCGGCGGGAGCAGCGTATTGAATTACATGCTGTACCTCCGGGGGAACAAAAAGGACTACGACACGTGGGAGCAGCAAGGAAACCCGGGCTGGTCTTCAAGAGAAGTGCTGCACTATTTCCGAAAATCGGAGGACAATCAGAATCCGTATTTATCCCGTACGCCTTATCACGCGACCGGCGGTTATCTGACCGTCCAGGAGGCCCCGTGGCACACGCCATTAGCAGCAGCGTTCGTCCAGGCGGGCCAGGAAATGGGCTACGAGAACCGGGACATCAACGGCGAACAGCAAACTGGTTTCATGATCGCTCAAGGTACCATCAGACGTGGGAGTCGGTGTTCCACGGCGAAGGCGTTTCTGCGACCGGCGAGGCTGCGGAAGAACCTCCACATCGCGATGTACGCGCACGTGACAAAGATTCTTATCGACCCGAAGTCGAAGAGGACGTACGGCGTAGAATTCGTCCGCGACGAGAAGATGTTTCGCATCCGAGCGAAGAAGGAAGTGATAGTGTCGGGAGGATCGGTGAACTCGCCGCAGTTGTTGATGCTGTCAGGAATCGGACCCAGGGAACACTTGATCCAACATGGAATTCCGGTGATACAAGACTTGAAGGTCGGACAGAACATGCAGGACCACGTGGGACTCGGTGGTCTGACGTTCATGGTGAATCAAGAAGTGTCGATGGTAGAGAAGAGGCTGCACAGCGTTCAAGCCGTGATGCAGTACGCGATCTTCGGCGATGGTCCACTGACCGTCCTGGGAGGCGTCGAAGGGTTAGCGTTTGTCAATACGAAATACGTGAACGCCTCCGACGATTTCCCGGACATAGAACTGCACTTTATCTCGGGTTCGACGAACTCTGATGGAGGCAGACAGATAAGGAAGGTTCACGGGCTGACGAAGCGGTTCTACGACGCGGTGTTCGGCCCGATCAGCGACAAGGACTCGTGGAGCGTGATCCCCATGCTCTTGCGACCGAAGAGCAAAGGTGTGATCAAGCTGCGCAGCAAGAACCCCTTCGATCATCCACTGATTTATCCAAATTATTTTAAGGAGCCAGAGGACGTCGCGACGCTGGTCGAAGGGGTGAAAATCGGCGTCGCGCTCAGCAGGACTGCGGCGTTTAAACGGTTCGGCAGTGAACTGAACTCGAAACAGTTCCCGGGTTGCAAACACATTCCCATGTACAGCGATCCGTATTGGGAGTGCATGATCAGGCACTACTCGGCGACTATTTATCACCCCGTGGGGACGTGCAAGATGGGTCCATACTGGGACCCGGAGGCTGTTGTCGATCCTCAGCTTCGGGTGTACGGAATCAACGGCCTTCGTGTGATCGACGCGTCGATCATGCCGAATCTGGTCAGCGGAAACACGAACGCGCCGGTTATCATGATTGGAGAAAAAGGCTCGGATATGATTAAAGAATTCTGGTTGAAGAACAGGCGAGGCAGGGGATGATTTGTCCTAAAAAAGTATCAAATTTATCAGATTTTTAATCAAACCGATTGGATTCCGGATTCACTTCGTATTAAAAACGTTATAAATCATTTATGTACATCTTCAATACTTGGATCTATGTAAATCTGCTGTGTTTCTATGTACGAAGTGAATCCAGAATCATCAGCCATCTGTATATAAAATTCCTTTTTAAAGTCTTTAAATTAAATTATGTCATAAATGTAAGTAAGTGTAAATGAAGGGATAAAAGCTTGTACACACTTTTTCTGGGACACCCTGTATAGTTACAAATAAATAATTGTAGGAGTTACATTTTAACGGTGGTATAAAGTTACGCGTGAAATATATTAAGTTATATTAGTTATTTTTATACGAAAGATTATTTTAAATATTAAATTATATTTATATAATAGATAGATTATTTTAAATAAAAGTAGAATATAAATTTTAATGTAATACGATTCTCAAGAGTATGACTGAACACACGATTTAAAATTGTTACTCGATTTTTGCAAATTCAAGCAAAATTTGTCAATTTTTTCATCTGGGCTTGCTGGCTTATTTATGAGATTGTAAAAAAATACAGCGAGTAGAAATTGCAAATATTTTACAATTGGAATTGCAATAAATTGCAAATACAGTGAATAGAAACATGTACGATTACGTGGAATGTGTCGAATTCGTGACTGAGAACCAAACGCGATACAAAGATATAATTATCAGTATGATTACTTTTAATAAAACACGACTTGTAAATATTGTACCTGCATGAAAACGACGCTGGTATAAAAATAATTTCTTGTAAAAAATAAATAAACATTGCGAATAATTTTATCGATAACCATGCGAATTTATTGCGTACGATTCCCCCCGATCAAGTTCGGAAAAAGTCTGACGCAGCTATATTATATTACAACAGCCATCGTCGTCCCTCTCTTGCTATCATTTCACGATTCTCATAATCTGTTGTAACATCGTTCTGCTCAAGATTGTACACGTACGCTTTCCCCGCTTTGTGACGCGATTATTTCTGCGTTAAATGCTAGACGTGAAAAATCGAGCAATCAGTACGTGTCTCAAGTGTAATTAACGCAGATCTGTGAATCGAGAAAGTGATATTTCGTTTTATTAGCCAAACTGCAGCTCATCTCAACGCAGCCGAGAGAGTAAGTACACTTCTGATTACGTTTAAGGGTTGATTTATAATATTGAACTCTTCTGTTTATTTATTAAAAATATTTTATTTAGTTCGAAATTGGATTCTAGATTCATTTGCATTTTTAACTAATTTTTATTAAACGTGAAATGTTTCTTGCTCATTTCTAAAGGACAAGGATTGATAAGACTTAGTTTTGAAGAAGTGATAAGCAATTTAAAAAATAAGTGGGAAGTTATAGATTTTTGTGTTGAATTATTTGGTGAAATTTTTTGTGAATTTGGAGGCGACTTTTGAATCTTCTCTCTTCTCTTTATATTTTATTAAATGATTTGAATAAAAAAAAGTAATTCTGTACATTTTTGGAATATCCACAATTTTCGTAGATAATTATTATAACTAAAACCATTAATTATTATAATTGTATTTGGAACATTAATCACTATTATAATACTTTATTTATAATCGTATTAAGAAAAATTCCATGAATCAATCGACCTCGTAAATTATGCAACTTTTAACGAAAATTGTTTAACTCGAGCGTTGCAGGATTCCTTACTAAAAACAACAAAGGCATGTATATTACATAATCCACATCGATTGTGCGTTACTTATGATTTCTTAATTATTTGATTATTTAAAAAGAATACACAATTGTTAAAGTCAAAACGTTTCCCATAGGAGACACGTGAGAAGACGTCTGAAAGCTCGAGTAGCTCAACGAATACAAAATTGGTAATTAAAAATTAATTAATATTCTACTGCATTTCTAAGAAAAACTTTCCATTTCTAAAAAAAGTTAGGCTTGTTATTAAAACTGATTGAACATCGTGAAATTAATATGAAATAAATTACACTTTAACATTTTTTTTAGTTCTGTTAAAGGACGTAATAATCAAACGTAATTTTCCTGTTTTAATTTCACGCAGAGGAAAATTAATCGACTATCATAGAAAGATGGATGCTGGTAGGGCATCAGCTACGCGCATAGCAGCGGCTTACGGGCCAGAGCTAAGTTTCCTACTGTTGCTCCGGATGTTGATCGGGATGCATAGGTCGGACATCATCGATCAAGAGAACAGGGTGAAACCGATCGATATGACGGGCCTTCAGAATAATTACGATTTCATAATAATCGGTGGCGGCTCGGCCGGCTCGGTGCTGGCTAATCGCCTGTCGGAGAATGAAAATTGGTCGGTGCTACTGTTGGAAGCCGGTAGCGACGAACCGGACCTCTCCGACGTACCGATGCTGTTTCCGATTTTACAATTGAGCCCAGTGGACTGGCAGTTCAAGACGAATCGGTCCGAGAATTATTGCAAGGCCATGAACGACAATAGGTGCAACTGGCCTCGAGGCAAGGTATTTAGTCGGATTTTATCAGTACCCATAAAATGCCGATTAATCATACNTGTATAGTCAATACATCCTTAAGTATAAGAATAATTAATTAATTATTAATTTTTCTAGTTTCTAAAAATAAATCCAAATCAAGAAACTTCTGTTTGCCCACTCAATATTTGTACCACCCACCCTTTTTTTTTTTTATATCAATCGCCAATACATGTTTCACTAGATTTTGCAAACCTTTCATCTCTTCAATCCCTTCATCCCACGGGAATTATTCAGGTACTCGGGGGAAGCAGCGTACTGAATGCGATGCTGTACGTCCGTGGAAATAAAAAGGACTACGACAATTGGGAGAGACTTGGGAACCCAAATTGGGATTACGAAAGCGTGTTACCGTATTTCAAAAAATCCGAGGACATGAGAATCGAGGAATACCGAGATTCGATCTATCACGGGACCGGTGGTCACCTGTCGGTCGAGAAATTTAATTACTATTCACCCATAACAGATTACATAATAAAAGCAGGAACAGAGATGGGATACGACGTCGTAGACGTGAACGGACCTAAACAAACCGGATTCACTCTGTCCCATGGGACTCTCAAGAATGGACTCCGGTGTAGCACCGCGAAGGGTTACCTTCGGCCGATTTCGAAAAGAAAAAATCTTCACATCAGTACCGGGTCGTTCGTCGAAAAGATTTTAATATCAGAAGGCAAGTACAGTTAACACTTCATCGACTGCTAGCCTACTTTTCGGCTTTTCGATTGCCAACGCTTATCGACCGCTAGCCTATTAATCAACTTTTAGCTATCAATGGTTTTCGTACAGTGGATTGTTGTTGTTTTAGTTTTTATAATTATGCGACGTTAACGTTGTTGATTTAATGTTTTCGCAGTAGCTGTATATTAACCACTCCATATCTTTATCAATTATAATATTCTTTTACCGTTTCTAATGCATAAAGAC